ACATTTATGTGACCCTGTCAAATTCAAGCAAATCACCTACTGTGATATTGTCCAAGACAAATTCCGCATTAACATACCATGGAAACCAATTAGCTATCATCCTTAACCATAGAAAAAGAACCATGATTATTGTATAAACATTAAGACAACCCAGATATTGGCACATAACCAGCAGAGAGTCCTGGGGAGAAGCTCTGGATTAGTGGATCAGAGGTTGCTGACCTCAGGATGACAGGAGCCTCTGAAACCCTGGAACACCATCCAAGAGAAGAGAAACAGTGAGCTTTTGTGGGAGGCAAGAAGTATGTGGTGCTCAACTGAGAACAGTAATCATCTACCTCTCTCCTCCAGCCATCGGAGTCTTCAACAAGCTCTTGCTGTCCACAGGGAACACCAAGATGCCTCGTAGTCATGGGAACCAAGACAAAAAGCTCGGGATCTGCCATCCTGCTCAAAGCAGTACACCAGTCCGCATGGGTGTGCAGGTCCTCAAGGCTGAGGAGAAGGAAGCAGCAGCCAGTGCTTCCTCTTCCTCCTCTTCCTCCTATGCTTCAGTGGGACCCACAGCAAGAGAAGAGCCTGGGCCTGGGACACCAAGTTGTTCTCAGAATCCTCAGGGCATCTTTGCTCCCCCCACTGCCAATGCTGTGAGGGCTCCAGTAGGCAAGGAGAGGAGGGTGCGAGCTCATTCCAGGGCAAGGAGGCACCTCAGATCATGCAGGGTGAGCTCCTAAATGACAACTTAGATAAATTGCTGTCATTCTTGCTCCAAAGGTATCAAAAGCAGGAACAGATCACAGTGGAAGAAATGCTGCATGTTGTGGACTATGATTATCATGTGCACTGCCCTCTGATCTTCAGGCTTCTCTGTGAGTGCATGTATCTGAATTTTGACATTGATCTGAAGGAAGTGGATGCTCCTGGCCACACCTATGAGCCTGTCCCCATCTTGGGCCTCACTGATAATGGGATACTAGATAACGAGGTCCAGATCTCTCCCAAAGCAGAGCTCCTGATACTCATACTGAGTACAATCATTATAAAAGGCAAGCAACTTAGTGAGGGAGGCCTAAGAGACCTACTGAGAAACAGGCAGGCATTAGGTGAGAGGCAGCACGTTACTGGGGATCCCTGGAAATTCATCACAGAAGATTTGGTTCAGGAAGGGTACCTTGTGTACCAGCAGGTTCCTAACAGTGATTCTGCTCGATATGAGTTCCTGTGGGGTCTGAGAGCCCACGCTGAAACCACCCAGATGAAAGTCCTGATGCACATGTTCAGCCTTCATAGGACAGATCTGAAATCTTACCCACATATACACAAGCAGTCTCTGAAAAAGACAAATGGTAAATTGAGGGCCCATAAAGGTCAGAATGAGTGACAGGCAAAGGGAATGTTCCATAACCACGTCACTGCTTAGGTTCCACCCCACGTGAAATGAGGCCCAATGTCAGTTCATGCTTCTGGATAACGGGCATTGTTCTAAGTAGTGAAGTACAAGGGAGAGGGTAAATACAGTGCATGCCATCTTGATGTTTGTTCTGCTTGGATTACTCCTTAATGGATATGTGATTTCTTTATGACTTTTTGAAGTCTTGTTTCTTTGAGAGATTTAAGTAGCTTGCAAATCTTACTTGAAGAATGATGCTGATCTCACATGTATCTTTACTTTTATATTGATGTTTAATTGTGATTTCTGATGTGAATATGATTTTGTGACTTTGTTCACAATTGTATTTTGTTTCTCTGCTCCAAATGTAAGTGCCTTTCCTGTTTTCCCAATCAAACAAGGGAGCCATGCATTTTATTTCTGCTAACATAAGATTGGAACAGGGATTTCCTTGCAAATGTATAATTTTGCATGAAGTTAGATCTAGCCTAGAAATAGACATAAGGATAAAAATCTGTTCTCAGATTCTTTTTTTTTTCCTATTGTTCTATACTATTAAAAACATATGTACACCTGAATTTGTTTGACTTCTTCGTTATACTGGGCAAATTTACTCTCCATAAATAAGAGACCCTTTATTGCACGTGTGCCCTTGATAAGGCCCTGTGTCTGTGGTGGAGACATGAGCACACTACACTAATCAGGGTCAAAGTGACGCAATACGATGATGGAGTCCAGGAATACCCCCAGTTTCGGGAGACAAAGTGATGTCCTCAAGGAAGTTACAAGGAAGTTTTCGGAGCCCTGAGGGGTGGAATCTAGCACAGAGCAGCCATGGGTGAGCACAGAGCTGGGACAGTTTTGGGTTTGGGTTCCTGCAGTTGATTCCGCAGGAGCTGATTTCAATGCAGCTCCATGCTAGCTAGGGCCAGACCCTCAGATATGGTGTCTTGGGCCTAAGACAAAAGCCTAAGAGCATGGAAGACTGTTTGTAGGACACCTTTAGATGGTAGATGATGACAAGAGAAATCCTCATGTACAATAAAGATGAGAAGAGTGGTCCTACACAGAGTATGAACAAGGAGGCTTATGCCCCACATCTGCAGGGACTTCCTGAGAGATAAAAGTGACTCTCAGGTAAACTGAGGCTGTAAAGTCCTTGACCATGTGCTCTGCTCTCTGCTGAGAGTGTCCATTTTCCAGGATCTTGCAGTGCCCTTTGCCTGCTTTTCTGGGGACACCTTCCTCTCATGAGTCCACTTTGTGGTAAACACTCTTACAAGATGGGCATGAGGATCTAGACAGTGATGTTTATGTGTTACATAAGTGGTCAGATGACTGGCTGACCAAGTATTTCACCCTGGAGAGAAATTATCAGTGTATACATGTATCTGCACCATCTCACTCCAGTACTGAATCTGTGAGAATTTTCAATCATTTCCATCGTGAAGGAAGTTTACGCTAGTAATATTGGGATATGTAATTTTCTTTGAAATTTTTTTGACCTGCATGTGCACTGAGCTGCCCTTGTCACTGGGATGGCATTGTTCTAGGCCTCATTGTCATAGAGGCCTTGTGATCCCCAAGACTAGATTTTGGTGAAGGTGAAATGATTAAAATCTTTCATTCCATTGGAAGTGAAATTGTCAGGAAGGGGAGCATGATTCTTAACCCATTTTCCACAAGCTGTGAATTAGTTGGTCTCAGCAGGGACAGACTCCTCAACACCTAATCATGCAATACATGCTCTTGCAGGCATGATTTCTGAGTAGCATTTTTTGCTGAATTTTCATTCCTTTTCCTTGTGAACTATAGCTTTCCCAGGAAACACACAATTTTTTCCAGAATAAGACTGATAGAATCAGACTTTAAGGTAATGCTACAAACCAGCTACTTATCAGCAATTATTCAGCACACAGTATGTCAGACATTCTGCCAGATATTTTTATACATTTGTTACATTCCACTGATCCTACAGCAAAAAAGTATGTCAAACCCATTTTATAGATGAAGTACTTGAGGCCTGTTGCACTTGGGAACTTCTCAGGATCCCTGTGTGGTAAATGATGCGACCAGCATTAGACTCAGTGTGAAGTGATAGTGCGTACCCTGTTTTTTATTGCTACCAACATGAACACAGCTTTGTTTTTGAATTTATTTCTATTCTATTGAAATAAAATGTATCTCCCAATGTGTAGAAAGACCGTATGGCCAAGGCACTGAGGACTGGCCTCAATTAATGTAAAACTGAGCATGTGATGGGTAAACCCTACCCCAAGGGAACTGCCCACAGTCACCTGCCCTCAGCCACATCATTTGGAAGGCCCTGCCTGTCGGTTTGCTCACCCTGGAAACCCTCCAATAGCAACAGCTTTTTTGACATAAAAGTTAACTTTGGACCATGATGTTTATAGCCTGGGTTGTGTGCCTAAGAAGCAAAATAGCACACTATCAAATTTTCCTTACTGAATGATAAGCCATTTGACATGCAGAATAATCTAATCCTTGTCTTGGTTGGTCAGTTAGGATTGTTTTTGAGACTATTTTCACATTTTTGTCAGAGTTCATTGGAATGAGTTACTAGAAAAGGTCCACATAACACATTTGTGGGAACGTGAGGTCATGTAGGGGTAAAACCTACAGCCCCCTGACAGGTTGTAGGTGAGACAGACCAATGCCAATCACGGTATAAGGAAGGAAAAATATCTGCTGTCGCTGAACTCCCCAGCCCATGACTAGGAAGGAAGTACTTCTTTAAAAGTCACCTTCCATCTCCAGTCTCTGGTGTGTTTCTGCGCACAGGGAAGTCCTGATTTTCAGTATGCCCAGTGGCACTAGTGCTGATGTTCACACAAAGACCGCCATGTGCCCTGCAAAAGCAGCTCACAGCTTCCCAGAATGGCCATGAATTCAAGGACAGGAGAAAATTTTCTTCCTGCTACGACTGGAGGTCACTGTGCAGGGAAGTACAGACCAGTGCTAATGGGTGAAGAACAGGTCTTGCTCATGCAAATGAGACTGATGCCATATCAGAAGCATCTGTCCCATAGTGGGTGATGCTTGAAAAAGTAGAAAATTTTCAAGCCTACATCTGATGCTCAACAACTCCCAGAAGGGAGGAGAATTTTGCCTTAAATCATATTTGATGTGCTTGGGTGAGCCTCTTCTGTGTAACCACTTACAGGAACACCACCATTCCTCATCTACTAGAGACATTTCTGCAGGAGGTGCGGCAGGACAACTGGCTTAATCCTCATGCACTCTTCTCACAGCACACAGACCTCTCAGTGTGCACACCTAGGAGTTTCAGCCAGGCGTGTTTGATCCCTATGAGGGAAGCAAGCTGATTCTGCACCCTGAAGTTCTTGGGCATGAGCCGCCCCACAGATGCTCACTGCAGAGTTTCCTTCATGTCACACACAGCCTTCGGGCATTTAAGATGCATCTACCCATCCACGGCAGCTGTGATGTCCTCGCAGTGTGAATGGCAGGTGTGGTCAAAATTACCCAAATCCCTGTGATGACTGGAGGTTTCCTCCTCCTGTTCCTCTGCCCCATTGACCAGACCTCTCCTGGACCTGTTTGTAACCTGCCCAGTTCAGAGCATTATGCTCTCCGTGTCCTACTGCCACCCACTCAGCCCAAAACAGGACCTGGTGCTGATGGGAACAGGCAAATACCACCACCTGAGGAGGCATGATGAGAATAACGTCCATAGTCCCTCCTATGTGACTCAAGAAGCCCTGAGGGATTTGCACAACAGAAAAGCACCATGAGCATGTCATTCTTTCCATGTGAGAACATTACACAGAATCAGTTTAGGAGTTGAGCTGAAAGCAGGCACTGCATAGTCCCTCAGCATGGACAGGGGCCTTGATCTGAATGGATACTGCTAAGAAGAAGAGTTCAAACTGCTAATTTCATACAAAATTAACAACCTTCAGGAAGTCCTGCTCAAGGAATCTGGTTGATTCCTCATACAGTTCTCATGAGAAAGGACACTGTACAAATACTGTGCCCCCTGTTGCTGCTGGCATCTATACCCCAAAGGAAGTCTCCTGCCACTCCAGGCTGCTGTCAGTCTCACTCAGCACCTGTACTGGTATTTGCACATTTACAACCCACTCAGGAGCATATGCTTAGTGTTATTTTATCCCAAATTCCCAAATCTTAGGAACGCATATATTTTTGCAAAAAGTAGAAAGTATTTAAAGCTAACTCTGAGGGGATGGAAGGGCCTATTTTCCTCAAATCACCACTTTGAATTTTAAAATTGAGCATGGGCCTTACATAGTTCAGACCAGAGGGGAGGGGAAGTAGAGATGCCCGAAATGGCCATCTTACCCTGTCCAAATGGGAAAGGGCCTTGCATAGTTCAGAACAGATGGAGGGGAAGCACAGAGACAGTGCAGACCTGCGCTCCTGCCTTATCACTTCCAGCAGTCCTCAGCACATCCTCCTCTATGCCAGGTTCCAGTCTCTTGGAGCTGGTGACATCTGCACATTCTGTCACTACTTTGGGGCTTAGTACAAAGGGGATATTCATTATGAACTCAATAGGAAGAAGTTTGGTTCAGTTGCTCATGTGTATAAGGAAAACTCTAAATTTTATGCATTCATTTTTCATTGCCAATTGCAGTAACTCACAGAGCAGTGTAACACAGACCTTCCTCCCTCAGGTTTCTCTGCTACTGGTCTCTAATCCCTTTCCAGCCTATGAAGAGTGACCTTGCTCATTTACCAAGCAGGGGATCTCAAAGACATACTCAAGGGGATCACTAGGGTGTCTCTCTTTTCTTAGTATAGAACAGCATCACTGCCTTCTTATGAAGAAGAGGCTCATTGACCACTGACATAGGACTGCTTCATGCCAGATTACTAAAACAATTTCTCCCTTACCATTTTGCACATTAGGCAGAAAGCAAGTGCTGTTTCTCCCTGAATATGTAGTGTCTTGTGTGAAGGAGATGAGGGACTGTGTCTTTGTTACT